AGGCTGCCGTCCACGGCAAGACGGTCTCTAGCTGTCCAGTAGGGCCGCAGCGTCGGCTCCAGCTGCGACTTGTGGTCTGGAAAGCCAGCCAAGACCACGTCTCGGAGGGCGCTGAGCTCTGCATCACGCTCAGACGCCGCCCGAACCCTCTGCAGGGTAGCGTCCGGGAACAGTGATTCCTCCTCGGTTGGATCAGCCGTGGCGATTCTGGCGATCAGGCTTGCGATCTGGTGGGCTTCCTCCTTCTCCACCTCTTCGTCGTCTGGAGTCGGAGTATCCACCGGTGCCCGGGAGAGCGCATCCGGGATCGCGTGCAGTTTCCCTTGCCGCCAGACAGCGACGAAGTTGAACGGCGTGAGACGTTGCCGTAGTCGTTGCAGTCGCGGGTTGTCGATGTCGACGAGACTCTTGGAGTTCAGCACTGGAACGAGCGATCGGTGGTCTGTGACCACCTCGAACTGCTGCATGCCCGAGAGGTACATGCTGCACTTCCGACAAGCCCATGCAACTGCCAGCATCTCAATCTCGCAGACGGCGTAGCGGGACTCGACATCGGTCAGAAAACGAGACCCACACTGTATCAGTTTCCATCGTCCATCTGCATCCTGTTGCCGCAGACAGAAACCCAGCCCTCGCAGGCGAGCGGCGTCGGTCTCTAGGACTGTCCGGCGCCGCGGGTCAAAGAAGTCGAGGACTGGTGGCGAGACCAGCGCCTTCTTCACATCACTGAAGGCTTTGGAGTGCAGCGGCGTCCACACCCACTCGTTCTTCGGTCGCAGGAGGTGTCTCAGAGGCTCGGCGGCGGCCGAGACGTCTGGTGAGAAGTCACCCAGCTGGTTCACGAGACCGAGAAACGATCTGAGGTCCGTGAGGCACGCCGGCTGCGGAAACTCCGCGATGGCTCGCACCTTCTTGTTGTCTGCGGTGTAGCCTGTCTGGTCAATCTTGAATCCACAGAACTCCACCTCATTCCCGGCGAAGGAGCACTTGTCTGGGTTCAGAGTCATCCCGTGGTCATCACATCTCTGCAGGATGTTCCACACGTGCTCCAGGTGAGCTGAGTAGCTCGAGTCGTACGCCAGAATATCGTCTACGACTTTGCATGTCTGAGGGATGTCACCGAGAGCAGCGTCGCCTCTTCGGTTGTACTCGTCTCCTGACGAGATCAGACCCATGACGGCACGTTTGTAGCGGAAACGGCCCCATGGCGTGATGAAGCACGTCTTGTCTTGGTCCTCCTCGCGGATGGGGATCTGGTGGTAGCCAGACTTGCTATCCAGCTTCGTGTAGAAGTTTGCACCGCTGCCGATCGAGGCCACAGCGTCGTGCGGCGACCGGACTGGGTACGCTGGCCTCTTGACGAATCGGTTCAGCTTGGTGAGGTCGACCGTCAGACGGCAGCCAGAGACCGTGCCGTCCGGCGACCGCTTCGCCACCGGCACGATGGGGTGGCACCACTCGGTCGGATGCTCCACCGGCTCGATCACGTCACTCTCCAGCAGCTCATCCAGCTGGCGCCGAATGTCGTCACGCCAGCAGAACGGTATACTGCGAGCTGTGGAGACGGCAACTGGTGTGGCGTCTTCAGTCAACTCGATGGCCATTGAGCCTCCGGACATCTTGCGCAGCTTCGAAGTGACGTCAAACACTCGTGGGAAGGCTTCCTTCATCGCTGAGAAGTGCTTCCGTCGTTCTTCAGCCGATGGCACGCCTTTGCTTGCATCCCACGTCGGCTTCAGCGGGTGCACCTTCTGCGCCTTCCCGGCGTCTTCAAGCGCAGGAGCAGAGCCTCGTTTGACCACTCTGCGGGGTATCTTGCTCTTCCCTGGCATGGTCTTCAGGGAGCAGACTGCTGGAGCTGGTCTGGAGGTCTCCTCCTCGTCTGAGATGGCAGAACGGATCTGCTGTGGGAACTCCTTGTGCAGTGTTCCCAGTCGAACAGCGTCGTGCCACGACAGCAGCGAGCTGTGCAGCTTCTTCACCACAGAGACGGCTATCGTCCTCTTGATGCTTCCCAGCTGCAGTGCGACTTGGCACGCTCCCAGGCAGGGAAGTTCTCGTCCGTCCGCTGCGAACATGCTTCCAGAGGGCGGCGTCAGCTTCTTGACGTTGATGCCCATCTGCTTCGCTGCCTCCAGAGAGATAACAGACACCTCAGCGCCTGTATCTGGCGTCCATGTCGTTTGTTGCCTGCGACCGTCACTCCGATGCAGCAGAATCTGGATCTGTGGAGCACGCGTCGTGTGCAGGCCTTGGATCATGCAGTCTCGGTGCTGCTGGTCCACTGTCTGTCTGGCAGGTGCAGATGCCGCTCGCGTCTTCATTGTGACGAGCGACACACGTCTGCCTCCATCGGACCTCCGCTGGGTCCGGTCCGTGCTCGCCGCCGGAGCGCGCGAGCGACTGGCGCTGCGACCGCGGCAGACGGACGCGAAGTGGCCTAACTTGCCACAAGCTCGGCAGGTTCTGCTGACGGCCCTGCAGTCGCCGGCGCTACGGTGAACTTCACCACCACAGCGGGGGCACGTCTTCTCTGTCGCCCGGTCCCTCGGGCGACCGCGGCTGCGCTGGTACTGAGAGACCCTCGCCAGGGTCGAGCCAGCTGGTTCACGAATAGCTGAGCTGTTAGAGGCGGCATTCTCTGACGCTCGGGCGATATCCACTGCCTTCTGAAGCGTGAGATCCGGCTCTTCCAACATTCTGCGGCGTGCTTCTTCGTCTCGCGTGCCGACAACGACTCGATCTCTGAACCTGTTGTCCTGGCAGTGGTGACAGAAATCACAGAACGATGCAATCTCTTTCAGTCCGCAGAGAAAATCGTCCACTGTTTCGCCCGCTTCCTGTACTCGCATGTAAAAATCTCTCCGATCAATGATGACGTTACGCTGGCGGCGCAGATGCGTCTGCATCGCCGTGATGATGGTGTTCATATCAGCGTCTTCGGGGATCGGCAGGCCGTACCTGACCACCCTGGTCCAATCGTCATCAAGCAGAGCGAGTAGGGCTGCCTTCTGCTCGGGATGGGCTAGCCTGTTGACGCCAGTCAGCAGACTGTAGCCGTGAAATTTCTGTCGCCAGGATTCAAACTCCTTCAGTGACGCCGATGACGACAGCTGTGGAGCGGGAGTCGCTGATGCCGGCAGTCTGGGCGGTAGATTGACGGCTGCGTTCGTATCGGCTGGGGTGGCCGCTGCAGTAGCCGCCGCGGCTGCAGCGCCGGCCCCTGCCGCCGGCCCGGCCCATATCCGTTCCATTGCGGCCACCATACGCTCCTCCCGCTGCTGGCTTTGCCGCTGAGCTTCTTGAGCCAGCTCCAGTTGCTGGGCGAGGAGTTGGGTGAGGGCTCCCAGGTCTACCGGCTTGCCTTCCTCCGTCATTGCGAGAAACGCGCGCGAAAACCGACGAAAAAATGCTATATTTAATGATAAAAAGTAAATTATACCGATCGCGCCATGTTATGGTTTTACATTTAAGTCTACGTTAATAATGGTTCGATAGCAAATTAATTATCGTCGCGATTCCACCGCCCCAGATGCACACGCGCACTCCCGATGTTAACTGTATTGAGTCCGGCTGACGACTGCACAACAATACTCATTACCCAAGGACGCCGGAAGCTGCCGGGCGGCACAGCCTACCATCAGGCGCCGGCCGGCGCCGCGGCGGCTGGCAACAGCTGTCAGCTGACTGCGCCGGCATAGCTCGTGCCGGCTCAGTAGCAGGCATCACAACAGTTTCGGGGGGCGGACAATGAACACGATTTCATTGGATATTGGACAGTGGGAGTTTTGCACTAAGCTGATGGGGGTGGACGATCAACTGGGTGTACACTGTACAGAGAGTTCAACCAGGAAACGATCCCAGAAATGGCCAATGATTGATTCGCAGCAATTACGATAATCAACAGCCGAAACTGATATCCACGAGCTACCATAGGTGTAATAAATCACAATCACGTCCCCAAATGACTGGAAGAGGGACGACCATGTCCATGATCTGATCGGTGTTCAACGAGCTTTTGCATCACGGGTAGGAAGATGGATGTAGCATGCAATGCTGACATTCAGGAAATTACACCATGGAGAGGACTAATAGCCGGTGAAAAGTAGTTACATCGCATGATAGGTATGCACCTATCGTTTTGACATGAAAAACAAAACAATGAATAAGTATTAGTCATTCATCCTCCGCGTCTCTTCAGTCAAAATCAATCGAGGCAGATGTCCGTTCAGCTGACCGTCCCTGACAGCTACAGTTAGCCCGCTTTCGACCGGCGCCAGTAAGCTGTACCAAGAGCTGCGCCATTTATTGGTGCTGAATTCCGGCGCCGCCGGAATCCAGCTTATACCAGTTTTCTTAAAATGCCGGTAGGCGGTATCCTGCTCTCATTATGTATCGAATTGGTCACTTCAGACACCGGATCGCTTAGAAGTGACCAGAGCTGGTAGCTGAGAAATTGGAGAAACTGTACTTACAACAAAGTAGCCATAAGTCTGATCGTCTCAAGTGCCTCTAGTCTTCTAATCCCCCCCTAAGACACGCTGCCGAGTGCAGCTAGAAGCAGAGAACACCGAAGAGGCACATGCAATACCGGAAATGAGCCAGTTGCCGAAACTTGAGCATGTCACACGGGCACCAGAATCGTTCAATGAGGATAGAGATTGAGAGGTTTAGAGCGGCCGCTATTTTGCCAATGAACGGAAATTTTACTGCAAATTGAGCAATGTCTCTGGCTGACTTGCTATGCTGACATTCAAAGAGAAACGTATAACACAAAGTAAACCTGGAAACCACTCGGCTGCGATATGTGTCCGTAGGAATCACACGCTAAAGACCGTCTTTAGTAAAACAAAATTGCACCGCTAACCGAGCTTTTTACCCATCGCCTGCTTGATTTTGTAGTTACATTCCCATCCCAAATATATACCAACGTAATTTTGGATTTTGCATTTGTTATCCACACTTCAGGAACGGCCCGACAGCCTAAACATACTCCAAAACACACTCGTTTTATCTATATTTGCAGTTTGTGAGATACACACCGCTTCACCAATCCCACAAACGCAGAGAGGTATTACAGACGTGCACGTCTTACTCTGGTCACACCAGCACACTCGCAAACGCAGCACTTGCAACAACATCCCCGCTTCCATATTCATACATAACCGTACGCACAAACGACAGTTCACAAGTAACTTCGTATAAACGTCAGCTCACATATAACCAACAGTCCGCCACAAAAACACCGTCCACGACCGTCCCAGCCCTGACGCAGCATACCACTCCCATACGACTGGTCAGTCTCGTATGCCGTCCATTCTGATCGGACCCCCGTCCCCTGCACATGTTCCTCACAACTCCATGGTCTCCGTGGATTCCGCGGCGCCGGCGCTGTCCCGACCCTTGGCGCTCAGCAGCTCGCGCCTGAGAAAAACGAAACGAACCGTGAGTATGGGACAACATAATACACCATTCGTAACCCGTACCACATCAATCGCGCCAACGTATTTTCACACATACGCATATTTTAGGAATGGGGCATACTTTTCTGAGCTAGCAGAATAAACTCGAATGCAACACAAAAAGGAAAGAACTTAAATAAGGAGAAATCCGATCAAAAGAAACGTGGCCGCGATGCGAGCTTACTACCATATGAGGGAATCTGTCCAGTCACATCACGAGCGGCGAGGGGCCACGGCGCAGTGGGTTCGTTCGAGCTCGGCTGGGCACTAAACACTAATCAGTCGATCCGAGCAGCTGTTCCCACTGGGTGGTTCTGAATAGAGTGACCTTGGTTGTGGACGGAACCACGGCCGTCCGTCACACATGGTCGGCGTGGTATGAAACTCGTCCATGAACAAAAGAATGATGCCGACCGGCATACTGCGAGTAATAACCACATGGCAACACGCCAAACCACCTATGACATTCCCTCGATACATTCACAACATGGCAACAAATCACACCACCTCACAGTGCTCTCTGGACAGCCCGACCCACGTCCGTACTACTGCACAAATATCACAGCACAACTGTTCCTGTCGCTAATTGCACCACCCTCTAACAGTCCGTGATCGGTCGCAGTCATTAAACCGATTCCCTATCGGCTGATCGACAAATGCGTGAGTGGGCTGCGTGCGCTGCCCGCTGACAGACATGCTCAGATAGGGAGACAGGAAGTCCCCGATTCTACAGGTCACGTTATATCGGCGGAAACTCGGCGTCGTTGGAGACGAGCAGCGCCATCTTTTGGCGGTGAATAACACTGCCTGGCGCTAGACGTGCTCGACGACTAGGTGAATAAGGATTTGAGTTTACAACAAACAACTACAAGGTATCGTGGTGGAAAACTTTTTCGATTCAATTTAATTAGTTTATTGATGCCAGTCTAGAAAGCAAAACCGTTAAAAAGAAGGCTGTGCCAGGAATTGTTATCTGACATGACTTTTTAAACGCAATTTATTTCGCCCTTTACTTGGTCTTGAGTTTAGACGGCGAATTCATTTTAGACTAATCTGCCCAGTGTTTTATTCCGGTTTTAGTGCAGTTAGTTGTCTTATTTTATCTGCCAGTGCCTATTGCCTTCTTGCATTTTACTGTATTGTGCATGACGCTGAATCCTGAAAAACCATGTTATGTGGATGGATTTTAGATCAATACATACATACATACATACATACATACATAACCACAGATCACGTCGCCTCTACTCGGCCCACCGAAAGTCCAACAGTCAATCAGCACAGAAAAACGGTAATAGTTACTGTCATCTCATTGCTTTACGCTGGCAAAGGCGCTTGCATGACCATACAAGCGGGCAGGTGGCGAGGACTTATTTTGTAGATCACATGTATACAGTAGCACCGACGCTGTTAGCGCAAACAATTAAACTCTCAATGAAATAAATCTGCCCAGCCACAACTACTGAATCATAAAGGTCATCAATCGATAGTTCAAGTGATCGTACATAGTCGCTACTGAACAATCACCGCATACGCCTTCAGCTGGAAGTCATTATTCATTTGTAACGACTGTTGCATGCTTTGTCTGCCATTGAAATTTACTGTTTTAGTTCCATGGTAGTTATGGTTGCTTTACCCGGCTTTGTTCGGAAATCGGAAACACGTTGACGAATGGCATCCATCGATGCGACCAGTCCTACCAATCGCCCTATCCGGTCCACAGCTATCAATCACTGAAGCCGATCCGAATTCTTTCCGATTTTCTTCTAAATAAAGCTAATCTAGTCCAATGATTTTGATAGCGTGAATGATTATGGATGTTGCCTGAACGAAAGAATAAATGAATGTTGAATAGTTCTGAATGTTACCAAATGTCGTGAATGCGCATTCACGGCATTTGGTAAGATTGGGCCAGGACGGACAACCCTCGCCATCCGCCCGCTCGCCGGCCACTCACCTGACTTCGGGCGTGATGACAGGATGTCGCTGACTGTTACAGAGATCCAGCAGGAGGTCCCGCTGCTCCGAGGACATGTCGTTCTTGTAGCGCTGGACGAACGTCAGCAGCGCCTGGTGCCACAGCACGGGGTACTGGAGATCGCTCATGTGGAACCTGATGGGAGGGGGAAACAGGGGTGATGGAGGGAACGAGACAGCACATTAGAGAGGCAGATTGATAGAAAGACGCACAGTACAGAGACAGGCGCACCGGGAACTGGCACTCATTCATGTGGGGTCTTCAGGAGAGTGTGTGAAAGCGCCAACATTCAAACGGACATCCGTCCCGGTCCGAGCCAACAGGAACTATATTCAGCAACAACCGGCCCCAATCACCCAATCCATCGTCCCAGGACTACCCTCCTCACCTCATAAAGTGCGCGTGCACGGCGTCAATGACTCGGTACGGCAGGGCGTACTTCTTGTCGAGCAGCACGCGCAGGAACATGCTGCTGGCGCCCGTGTACGGCATCTCGGCGATCTTCAGCATGGCCGCCGCAGAGTGCAGAACTGGCACCGAGTTCTTGGCCAGCACGGAGCCCATGATGATAGCTTCACGGAGCGTGCAGTCACCAGACTGAGCAGGCGGAGGGAGGGACAGGTGGGTAAGTTATTTACGGGCTGCGTAGGGTCAGCGATAATGCGTTCATTCATAAGCGGAATGGGGAACGTTTTGTTGAACGTTCGTCGTGATGGGGAACGTTTCGCTGGTAGGCATAATTGAACTACGGACGAACTAGACCAACAGAGACGAAAGTTGACGAAGTACGAACTTCATTGATGAAGTCATTGATGAACTTGGGACAGCCTTCTCGCCCTAATTCAGGTGATTCGGTAAAACACGTGTGTGATTCCATGTTAATACCATATTTTCATGCCATTTTAATGACAGAAGCAGGAAACCGCTATTCAACATTACAAATGCCATTCCAGATATCACTCCAAACGGCAAACACCATCCCAATCAGGGACCGAAAAAGACCAACCATCCCCGCTAGGCCGCTAGTGTTCGCGTCACACAGCTGGGGCCGATACCAAATTCACCGCTCCAAGAAACTGACCCTCAGATTAACGTGTGTCCCTGAATATACTGACCCGATGTGATATTAGCTGCGGTACTGTGTACCTACTGTTAGCCAGCTGTAATGTGCCCCGCGGGGGAAACGCTTGCCCGCTGGGTCAGTGTGCTCTCGGCTACGCCCGGGTCGTGTGCGTGCTGCCGACTAAAGTATACCGCCGTTGTTGTCGCCGCTCTCTGGACGCCTGCCTCGCCCCGACGCTTCACAACACGACACCCGACAGACCGGCCGAGACAGACCACTCCTCCCCTAGTACTGACCTCACATAGCGGCAGCACAACGCCCTTCATGAAGGCGCCCGGCTTGAAGAGCGCCTTGCGGAGGGCCAGGTAGAGGTGCGGGTTCAGCTTCTTGTAGAAGTGGACGTCGTCCCTGATGCGCGGCAGAAGCACCAGGTTGTAGAAGCGCTGGGCCATGTTGTCCCTGAGGTTGGACGAGAAGATGCGGGTGGCCTGGTACATGGCGGCCGCTGTCCATGTGTCTGGACCTGGAGGCGGGGGGGGGGGGGGGGAGTCAGACACGGTCACACGAGTCAGAACGGCGAGTCAATCGGAGTCGGCGGCTTCAGGACGGCACACTGAACGGACGGGTGGCGATGAACAGCTGCAGCTCATCTGGTATTGTCCTGTCTTCATTTTACAAAGTTGCACACAATATACTCTATGACTGATAAATAAGCATCGTAACCTACCGGGAATATCATTTAGCTTTCGTCCCTTATCCAGCATATCATTTTTATCAAGTTTAGATTTTGCAGTTGACACACTTCGCTACACGGCACAGCTGCCCTATCACGATGTTAAAAGGAAGCCGAGAAAGCTTACAATGTCGCCTAAGAAGAAAAACGGGGCAGTGGGTATCGCTTTCGAATAAGGGCTGGACGCAATCTAGACACTGACTGACTAGATCTTGTCTCTGACGCATTTGTGAACGCTGTGTTACTGATGGTACATGTGTCGCATACTGCTGCATGTTTTCTGACGAACTTCAGGCAAAGAATGAATCGAGACCAGGGCTGAAACAAGCTGTGCGGCAAACGCTGGTTTTGTGGTCATGCCACTGTGTCTCATTTTCCGACCAGCAGAGCTCCCAGGGGCTAAACCAGAAAATTCAAATGACCAATGAAAACTGTTAAATCTTTGTTAACAGATGCCTGAAGCACAGAAAGGCATGTCTGGATACTGCTGGAAAGTTGAGGATCCATGTCTACACTGCGGGCTCCTTTAGTTCCCTCAGATGGCACGCTCGTGTGGTAAGATAGGTAACGACCAGGGCGCCATGGGACTGATTCGACCACAAGCAGGAGCTGCACCTGCTTGTGTTGCATTGTTGCTGTTGCAGCGCAGCACTGCAAGAGCAACAACGCAAATCCATCAGGAACCGTTACTCCTGCGAGACAGCCAGTCAGTCGCTCAAACGGTTACCCCGAGTTTCAACTTTATCATGTAGGAAATCCTCATTTTCAGCTGAGCTTCCCTCACCGTTTGGTGACTGGGTGACGTGCCCATCCCATCAGCCCTAACAAGTTATCACGATTCAGGGTCAGGGCAGATCGGACCTGACTCTGAGAATGAACAAATGGATAAAATGACCTTGGTGAATCTCGCCACACCAAAAAAAAAAAAAAATGGATGCAATGATGATCATGAATTGGGGGTTTTGAGCGCCCGGATTACAGTGGTCATCGGCGCCCACATTTGTTGCAAGAGAGCACGTAATTTTTGTCCAAACTCCGCCACAGTCCCTTGGTGTCCACCACTGGCTCTCGCCCGGAACTCACGTGTCACGTGGATCAGCTGCTCCCAGTTCTGCATGTTGGGGATCACCTTGAACGCCTTGGGCACCTTGCCGCTGCGATATTTGGCCAGTACCTGACGGATGCCCTCGTACATCTCACGCACCTTGGGGTGCAGATCCTGCATCACCACCACCACGCCTGGAGAGCGGTGGGGCAGGTCAGGGGGCGGGGCAGGTCAGGGGGACTCAGGTGCAGATCCTGCATCACCACCACCACGCCTGGAGAGCGTCGGGGCAGGTCAGGGGTGGGGCAGGTCAGGGGGCGGGGCAGGTCAGAGGGCGGTGACGGGGGTTTGAGGGGCGGGGAAGGGGGTCAGAGGGGCTTGCTTGGAGGCGCAACTTCTGCATCACCATCACAGACTGGTCAGAGGGAACTCAGAGGGTCCAATTGTTGAACCACTAACCCACCATTATATGGAGCTGAGTGCCATTCAACAGTGTCAAAAGGCACGAAAAATCGTTTTATCTACACCAAAAAGCTAAGGGCAGAGAATAAAAGCGCGATCCCCCAGCAGTTTTCACAATCGTACTCACTTGCATGCCTCCATCCTATGTAAGGCGCTCAATGCTCCATCATAGCATATCCATTTCATCAATCATGGCACTCCAAGTCCAACACAAATCATATCCTCCCCCTAGCTGTTTCCTTCCCTTACCAGCCCAGTCCCATCTGCCATCTTTTCCTTCTTCACTTACTCTGCGCCTCCGAGTTGGTAGTCTGCAGTTCAGCCTCCTTTTCCCTGATCTTCTCCATGATAATATCGGCGAGCACACGGCGCGGTTTGGGCTCCCGAGCCATGAACGCCATCATGGCCCGCTCGTCGGCCTCATCCACCACCTAGCGGCGGCGCGGGGAACTATCCGTCAGGTGGCAGAAACCAATAAACTGATAGCAGAGCCTGGTGGAGAGGCTAACAAGGACTCCATGAAACATTACTACCACACATATGAAAACAATAAAAGGGAAATGGACGGCTGATGTCATAGGATGTGTGTGTATGCCCTAAGTTCAAAATTAAAGAATGGCACTTTAATCTTATAATACTGTAATGTTTTGGTGGTAAGGATGATTGTAAAAACACCGGTGTCATTCACACAATTTTAGTTAAAACGAAATCCAAAGCAAACAAAATATCTCTGAGTGTTGCAAAGCAAAGGATGATTGCATGCTATGATGTGCGCTTGCTGATGCATGCAAATTGAAGAAACAATAAATGGAGATGGCCACACCACGAAACAAGTTTACCAAGCCCATACCATAGTCTCACTCCCCCACCACTCACAATTTCCTCGCAGATGTCCTCATTGGGCGCGTCCTCTTCCTCGTCCGAGGAGGCTCCATCCTCGCCGAGGACTGGTGCGCGCGGCCGGCTGGCGGCCGGGTCCGGCCTCAGTCGGACGCCGCCGCCGAACGACTGACCGTGCTCCTCCTCGAGCTCCTGCTGCTGACGGCGCGCCTCGGAGAGGATGCGCCGGGACAGCTTACTGTCGACAAACTGTGGACGGGGGGGGGGGGGGGGGTGACAACGTACTGTGAATACAGGGGGGAGGGGTGCCGGGTGACAACTTACTGTTCAGGTACTGAAAACAGAGAGGGGACGTGCGGCAGAGTGAAACCGGCCGGACTTGACTCGCATAAGAAGCACGAACTGGAGAATAGCTCTCCAGGAGCGAGTACTGCCTACACGCCTCTGCATCAGCATTAATCACATCCTATTGTCGATCATCAAGCAGTGGAACACTTAATCTGCCTCCACCGTACACGGCTACCTTTTATGACAAGTACACACCACCATTGCGCACACAACTTATCACCGAAGTGGCGGGTGGTACTCAGAATTCACACATCTGGCAAATATGAGAAGCCGTATTAATATTATACAATATAGACACACGGCCGCCGCTCGAGCGGTACTCACGTTCTCCTCCTCCATGTGGGCGCGTTTCTTGTTACGAGCCGACGGGCGGGCGAACCTGTCTGCCACTATCTGCTCGTGCAGACTGGCGGCGCCCTCCTGATCCGGAGGCCCCGACACGCGAATACGCTTCGCCTTGCCCATGACTGGTGCTCAGACTATCGGCTGAGGCCTGAAGAGAGTGCATGATGGGTGTCAGAACTGACAAATAGCAAATAGGTGGAGATAAATAGGCGTTTTAGCGGTGATTTTCTAGTGTTTGAAGGTAACCGGTAATGTATTGCAGTTAAGTGGCAGGAAATGCTAGATTATATACATTTTAGCATGTTGTAAGACTAACTAGCTTCATTTAACCACGAATAAAACGCTAGGGGACGTTTGCGCCTCCAACTGCGTTTTCTGATACCGTAAAACGGTAAATGTTCACTCCAACAATCTGTCCATCAGAGGCTATTGCACACACAGACATGTCATTTTGCCACTTCTCAGTTCTTGCCCAGTTCTGTCTTAACCCTATTCCTGGCGGGGGGGGGGGGCCTCAGGAGCCCCCCCTGAGGTTTTTTGGTTATTTCTCCCAAACGCGTTGAGCTAGGAAGCTCAAATTTTCTGACTTTTCCTAAAAGGCTTCTACGCAACATGTCTGAAAATTTTGAGTTGATCTGACCTCAGGTCAGGTCACCAGAGGCGGTTTGGTGACCCTACCTCAGAAAAGTTTGCAATCACGCCAGAGCTAGAGTTTTTGACCGATCAATTTCTTCTCTTCAGGCTTTAGTTAGGGTACCAGTATGTGCAATTTGTATATCTCGGAATTTTGATATCGGTGACCTAAGGTCAGGTCAGTTTCGCGACCTCCCCATTATAAGTCAATGGGGGAAAAATCAACTCCCTGTTTTTACCACTAAAACGGGTCGGAATGGCCCCATATACCATACATGACTTCATATACGATCAACCTTCACTACCTTGAGGTCTGTTTTGCTGTTGGGCAGCTGTGAGGTCATGTGACGTCATCAAAGGTCACCAAAGGTTTTTGGCCAATAACTCCGTACAGGAACAAGATACAGACGCGTGGATGGTCTCATTGTGTTCAGCTCGTCAAGACGCATCGAATGATATACATGATGACCTCGAGGTCACGTGACCTGAGGTCAACCTTTGACCTTGACCTTTCGAGGTCAACATATATGTCATTCGATGCGGATTGACGAGAGGATCACGATGATGCCCTTAGTTTGTTCCTATCTTGACTAATTCGAAAGTTATTCGAGAAAAACTCTCTCCATATCTAGCGCCGCCATTTTGACTTTTTCGACCCCTGTGACGTCATCTTTGACCTGACCTGAAAATGACATTGGTAAAAATTGTAGACCTTGTCCATGCGTATCCGATGCCGTTTACCGCTTGTCGCTATCTTGCTTCGTTCTCGAGATCTCAGGGGGGGGGGGCCGAATCGGCCCCCCCCCCCCGCCAGTTTCTTGTCCCGGCGGAGCCCGCCAGGAATAGGGTTAAGGTGTTGTTGGAGTCGTGTTACTGTAATGCACCTATTTTGTTGTTGCTGCTGTTCTCCTTGAGCCCCGACTCAAGGCTATTGGGGCCAAACAGTTTTATGGCCATTCTAATTCTAGTAGCATCATCACATGGGCTAAAAGTAATACATAATTTGTTTTTACTTTTAGGACTGTTAACTACTTCCTGGTGCCAAACATTTGCTGTTGAAATGCACAGACAATGACAAGACATTCATCACAAGTATTCAGTGGATGGCATCAAATGCAATTTTACATTTCAATGCAAATAACATAATAAGGAAATGCAAATATGTTAGCGATTTATATAGCATTGCCAAACACAAATGATCAGACAGTGGCAGAGACAGAGCTGAGAGTAGAGACATAAGACATCAATGCTATTGTTTCTTTCTTAGCTTTGGTCCTATTCATTAAATGGGTAGTGGGTACTCAGCAACCTACAAGGGTCTCTATTAGTGTCTCTGCAGAGGTCTTTCAGATCACATTGCTGTTTTGTTTCCTTCAGCTTTTTATCTCTGTGATCTCCCTTGTTTACCTGAGCTGAGAATGAAAGACTGGCCAGGTTTTGGGGAAGAAGGAGGCATCTTACACCTAATGGTAATAGTCCTTGGGATCCCAAGTTTGTTATCAGCTGACTTGACATGATTGAATACTGAATATGAAAGCTGCACTCCTTATTTAATCTGTGAAATGTTTCCCCATTTTACTACCTTGATTTGGACTTGATTTGGAAGTGAAGTATGGCAACATTTTCATGTCCCTTACAGCCCCATTTTCATCATAAGTTACTTCTAACCTGACACACGAATGGGCAGGAACGAGGAATAAGCAGGGAGATGGGATGGATGCAATTTCATGAGTATCCTCAGAAGATATGTGCTCATTGGCCACAGCATTATGAAGATCTCATTATCTGTATTCTGTATCGGTATGGTCATGATGTCCAATTCTTATTATGGCCCCTTAAAGGACTCAAAATGGCTAAAAACTGTTAAATAGAACCAAATAACAGCAGAAACAATGCATACTGTCTACTGATTAATGATTATAAAAGCCCAAATATAAACTAATGCATATAAATAATGTAAATAAAATACTGACAGAAATAAGAATTAGCCAACTATCAGCTATCCCCAGTAAATATTTGATTAATTGCAGTGCTGTAAATAATTTACTGAGCAAGGTATTTACTGAATGAATCACCTACTTAATAACTCCAAGCCATTCGCTTGCAATTTTGTCTCGACACGGCATGCCACAGTTCAAGATTTTAGAATTTTTATTTATCAATTTAGCTCGAATGTTTGAATAGACGGATTGACAGAGCCAAAGCCTACGCTAAGCAGAGCTTGTTGCGTAGACCTCGACCCCTACCGCCCGATCGCGCAGTTCTGGGTAACGGGAGAATTTAGATGCCAAAGTTTAACGTGCCCTTCAAAGCCGGACACGGCCTGTCCCACTCAACTGACTTCAACTGGCTGCGGCTGCTCGCACCAACAGCAGACCATCCCCGTCAGGAGTTTCTAATATCGAGCGCCGGAGCGACTCAAACCCGGGCTCTCACTACCAGGAGTCCAGCGCTCTACCAACTGAGCTATGGGACAGGCTTCTCAGCTTCTCATTGTTGAACTGGCGTGGTCCATGCTTAAATGCTTGCCATCAACAATGAGATGCCAGAATGAGAGGACACCTAATTTCCATATAAATTATCTAGATTTTCCCCTAGTCACTAAATATAGTTCCTCGGGCAACATCTGCCGGGAGTCGGGAGAGCCTTACTTTCCACATCAGCAAGCATTTCAATTCATATCTTTAACAAATTGGGATAGACGTGGGAGAAATGCATGCAGTTCACGATTTTTATGTTGGTTTATGCGAGCTCTGCTCCAACCCTCTGTCCGAAATTGTATTGTCACATGTTCATAATAACCAAAAGTCGGAAACTGGAACACCGCCACCGGTGATTCGTGCCGATGGAAATCGCCAGCGTCATGAATGAGAATATACATTCTTGGACGATACCGCGAAAACGAAACATTTCTATCGAGAGTTTTCAAAGGATTTCATGCACGAGGCCTTGGCCGAGTGCATGAAATTCTTTGAAAACTCGAGATAGAAATATTTCGTCGCGGTAGAGTCCTAGATATTATTTCCTGTATGTTTCTTAAGATCGTTCGTTATTTGCTTAAATTAGGCCGAAATATGCATAAATAAAATACAGTAACATTAACTACACGTTAAATACTGAAATACTGGCAGTTCTAATTATTAACAGTTCAGCAAAGCTTACAAATTTTCTTTAAAACAGAAGCCCTCGGTGAAATCAAGCTATCCAAGAAAACCATCCAAGAAAACGTCTCGCGCAAAGTTTCTTGGATGGCTGGATTGCATTGCAAGACTGCATCAAACATACAGGAATAAATTATACAACTTACTATACCACTTTTGAAGTTCCAAGGCCCTGAGTGAGACTATAATATGATAAATGGCCTGATAATGGCCTAATTCATCACACATTCACGAAAAAAAAACATCCAAACTCTCGCACACGTGTACTGACGCGGCATTCAATGCACTTTTGCGTCATATTTGCCTTCGGAATGCTTTGGTACTGACTACTAATTAAAAACTCATCATGACAACTTAAAACATTTGCTCTGAAATCTTGAAAAATGTCATGTATAATAAATAATTTTAGCTTTTTAATGTAATTGTTTTTTAAGAAAATAAGATCTTGAGCATAAATCATCATTTTGATCATGAAAACCACGATGAAGCTGAAAAATAACTTGTATTACGTCAACATTGTAGTTGTCGATGGTCAGGTAAACGGCCCTGGGCCACGAACTCTTTTCAATCATATGGGCTTGAAATTTATCGATAGGTAGTAAGTTATCGAAGGTAAGTTATGTCCTTGGCATAAGAATCAAAAATATAAGCAAGCCAATTACGTTGTGCTCTTTTCACTCCTCAGTTCACGCTCAGTGTGGCCCAGTGAATGAAACGTCTGTGTGTGACTGTGTCCATGTCCTAACTCCAGTCAGGGGGTGTCGAAGTCTAGTAGGAAAACCTGGCAAATTCCCTGCGTGACGTCACGTCGGGGATGACCGACTTGCACTGAAAGATACGGCAGAACGGCTATTTTTGAAAAATGATTAAAAATACTTTTGTGCTGTTATGACGCATAAAACGCTTATCAGCATGTTCCTCATCATGTGATAAAGGCATATCCGTGGTCGAAAATAGCTGAGCCCCTCCCAATTTCCAACCACCGACCTCATAAGCAAAGGATGTAAGCGTAATCCTTAAGGGCGACTTTCCTATACATATCCGTACATATGCGTCCTTATGGAAATCGGTAGTGTGGCGATTGGCGACGCGCGCGACATCTGTGTGGCGACCAAGTGGCGACTGTGGCGACACCTGGTGGCTGCTTTTCTGCTGTATGTAGGCATTGGGGTTTTGCCAGATGTGGTTCCTACTGCTACACCACTATGTTGACCCAATACTAGAAAAGTTATTTTGCTAGTAAAAGGCAAGCAAATTGAAAGTTGATTTATAAAATTGCCTATAAATGATTACGAGATAATAATAAAGAAACTTTGATTGAATAATTATTTAAATAATCAACCGTGAAAGTATATTCTGGTAGGTTTAGTAGAAATAAGTCCGTGCAACCTTGTATTTAGGGCCTTGACTCCAGTAGCGGCGGAACACCTTAAGGGGGGAGGGGAGGGCACTGGCGACTTTTGGTCCAATTCTTTCCATGCAACGCCCATAGGGCTAATGTTGAAATGCCAAAATCAAAGGGGGGGGGCAAGGTGCCCCGGTGCCCCTCCCCCCCCGTTCCGCCGCCTATGCTCGCAGCGGGAGAGTTCCAGTGTAGTTGGACCCGCATTATTTATTTGATATTTATTGACCCACGCCCCATTGGAGCCTCTGAGTCTGGATTTCCACGCCCCGCTGAGGGGTTTGAGGTGGTGGTTTCTAGCGCTCCCCTTCTTGACTTCCCCTTCTAACCCCACTCCCAGACCACGTAGCGACACTTCGGGTAGGCGGGAGTTACAGACAGAGCGTCAAACAATGGCGAACAAAGTACTTGCGTCACTTTAAGGTCAGGTCAAAGGTCAGGTCACCAGGGGCTATCGAAGGTTTTAACCCACGCCCTGCTTGTCTATTCAGCCATATATGCTGTATGCGCCCAACTGCCAACTGGGGGCCGGGTGGGGGGCATAAGCTCCCCCTTCCGTCTAAATTCCGGACATAGAACTACCAGTCATAGAAAGAGGCGGAAAACGGCAATCAACTGAGACGGATTTTTTTTTTAACAAACCGATTGCCTAAGTAGGTCACAAGCATAAGCGGCGGAACGGGGAGGGGCACCGGGGCACCGTAGCCCTATGGGCGTTGCATGGAAAGAATGTGACCAAAAGTCGGCAGTGCCCCCCCCCCCCCTCAATTGAAGGTGTTCCGCCGCTACTGGTCACAAGCCAGGGCAAGGTCAGGTCAAGTGCAAAAACGACAAGTTTCTACATTATCGGCCTTGGAGCGCAGTTGACGAAGAACAGACTGAGATTGATTACCAAAATGCGTTCTTAGGCTATCAAAACACGATGCATAATAAAATGTCACGCAAAGGAAAAGGTCAAGGTCAGGTAAGGTCACCAAAAGTTGAATTATAGAATAGGGTATGTGCGACACAAGCTATAAGGATCATTTTATTCATAGGCCGTAGGTAGGGTAAGGTGCCTAATTAGCGACCCTTTCCGATTTGCGACCTACCTCCCTACAGAAAAACTGGCATGAGAAAACGGGGTAAAAACATCGTCAAAAGGTCAGCCATGCTTTGGTTATCAAACTTAATGATTTTCCGGTCGTCGATGTTTCTGGTGGGACGTTCCAGGTGAGTTTAAATAAAAATGACGAGTTTCTTATCCAAAACGTGTGTGTTTGGGCCCTCTCTGATGAAAAGCGATGCACATTAGGATGATGCACATTTTTTATTCTGAATCGACATTCCTTTTTTAATTGATTGCCGTTTTCCCATAGTGAATCGCTCAACTGTGCACAGCATGGCGGTTAAAAATGTGTCGCAACTCATATTTCCTATTTGCGCCCGACATGGTCGCAAATAGCTCAAGAAGGGAAAGAAAGGGGAAAAGAGAGAAATGAAAATGAGGTGTTCCTGAAGCTTGCAATGTGTGGCAGGGGATGCCAAATGTCGTCACTGACTGCAGGGGTGCCGAATTCAGCGCGGACCTCGAATATCATACAAGATAGCCCGCAAAATTTGGGTTTCCGCCTTCTTTTCGCCTTCGGTGCATCACGTGATCAGTTTTTACTTACGTAAATGTGTTGGATAAACGTTCCTGTTCGAGTGATTGAGTGCTTTGCGTATAGTTACCTTTTTTAGATCATATTTCATCTTTTCAGGCGTCGCATTTTTTTGCCATTTTTAATATGGGGAAACCCATAGACTTATTAGCGACCCTCCCCGGTCGCTAATCGGGAAGAGTTCCCTATTAGCGTTTTTTGCAATAGTTTGCCGAAATGCTCACTACAAATAAGTTAGTGAATATTGGGGCAGAAAATGACTATATTTTAATAGAAAAATGAACGATCTCTCCGAAAATCAAGCCAGTAACACATTGGCACTAGAGTTGCAAAATTTCCCTACCGCACTACCGGCATGCCGGTAATTTTTCACTACCGCAGGTTTTTTCGTGGTATCTGGCATGTCTTGCCGGTAGCATGCCGGTATTTTTGATTTTGCACAAAAGATTATCAGCATATGATTCAAACTTTGGACACTAAGAGGCTATTGAATTGTAATAAGTTGGACAATGGGTGGCTGTTGGGTGGGGCGGTTACTGAAATTGCCAAAATGTGGCATCTCATGTAGGGGTAAGCCAGAATCAAGAATGCAGGTTTTTTAGTATGCCGGTAATTTGGCGGTTTTTTTTGCTTGGGGCGTGGTAGCATGCCGGTATCCCAGAAAATGTTTGTGGGGCGGGGCGGTGCCGGTAGCAGCCCATTGGGAAAACTTTGCAACTCTAATTGGCACCCACAGAGCGTGAGCAACGACGGTTCAAATTAAGGGGGTCGCTAATTAGGCACCTTACCCTACTCAGTGCCATACATCATATTTGCAGCATTTGACTTCAAGTTCAATCTGACCTTGACCTGACCTCGACCTGAACGGCACCCCAAATATTGTCCATATCACTTTCTGAGTATACCCATTGACTTCTATAACTAAAATGACCCATAAAACCAGGGATGCGGAGCCGTGGAAATTTCAGACGGCTCCGACTCCGGCTCCGGCTCCGGAGAAAAAATCGGCTCCAGCTCCGGCTCCAGCTCCGGGTGAAATGTCATGGCGGCTCCGGCTCCGGCTCCGGCTCCGAGTAAAATGATCCGGCTCCGGCGGCTCCGACTCCGGCTTCTACTCAGTACATCCCCTAATACGGGTGGAAGAAAAAAGACGATGGCCGATTGGTACACGTTGCTTCTGTATTTGTATAACAAGGCTGTTTTGAATACCACATTGTTTTACGCCTTGTACTGTCAAACCGAACTAGGTAAATAATTATTTCCTCTTAACCCGCGCCCTGCTGGGGGGGGGGGGGGTTTGAACACCCCCTTGTGGTTTTTTGCGAATATCTCAAAAACGGCGGCGCTCCTCAAAAACGGCGGCGCGGAGCGCCGCCGTTTTTGTGTTACACCTTACAATACATCAATTCTACACAAGTTGTGAAAATTTCAGACCAAGGTCATTCAAGGGCAGGTCACCAGGTCACTTGAAGTGACCTCACCTCATAAAGAGTTTCAATGTCTGTCATAGCTACACCGAGTGACCGATCGCTTTGAAACTTTCAGCGATTGATAAGGGCAACAGTATCTATCAAATGTATATCTCAGAATTTTTATATCGGTGACCTAAGGTCAGGTCAATTTTGCGACCTCCCCATTATAAGTCAATGGGAGAAAATTGAAATGCGCCTCTTTTGGACGAAAGACATTATAAACACTCCCAAACACTGAATTACAAGCGGTTTAGACACACTGAACATGAAAATGGTGTCCGTGACCCCTATTTATGCCCCTGAGGTCATCTCAGGTCACGAATGGTGCCTAACAGTTTTTCGCAAATAACTTTTGATAGAGGCATGCTAGAGCGGTGAAAACGCCTTAGATGTGCTCAGCTCGACGATACGGATCGACTGATATGCAACATGACCCTTTCCGGTCAAGTCATGACCTTGACCTGAGGTCAAATTTTCAAGTTGACCTTTCAAGGTCAAGTTATAGTGCATTCGATGCGTCTTGACGAGAGGAACACGATGCCGGTAAAAGTAAGCTCGTACAAGGCTTGGGTCAAAAGTTATTGCAGAAAAACTGTTTCCGAAAAAATCGGCTATTTTTGCAGTTTTTGCCCCCTGCAGGCAAAACCGTTGACGTTAGGTCAAATCTGAGAGAATTACTCAGAAAGGGCGTTAATAGGGCTATCGAATGCGCTTTTCCGCGGCGCTGTAGCTTTATTGGTTCCCGAGTTATGCGTTGGCTTCCTGGAAATTGTCGAC